GGTATGGTGGCGGGTGCTGTAGTCTCAGCTACTCAGGAGGCTGAGGCAAGAGAATCACCTGAACCCAGGAGGCAGAGGTTGCAGCGAGCCGAGATCCCATTTTCAAAAAAACAAAAAAGAAAAGAAAAGAAAAAGAAAACATGCTGTTTCCACAGAATTAATTTGTTACAGTCAAACATAGTTTCTGTCCTATGTTTATTAATACAATTTCATCATCATCATCATCATCATCATCATCATCATCATCATATTTTCAAGTTACTCTTCCTAAATTTTTTTTACCTTCTTTTGAATCTCTGTTCTTTGGTTCCCGCTCTTCTCTTTGCCTCATCTCCCTCACTGAATTGTGTGTTTCATGAAAGGAAAGTTTGTTCCCTATTTACAGTTGTGGACAGAGGACTAGTAAAATTTCTTGTCACCTACTATTGAATCAAGTTTACTTAATGTAAAACATTGATGTTCCCAGTTACTTGTAAATCTACAAAAGATTTACAGGAGAAGAGGCAAAGCCTGTGAAGTGTCAACATAAAGGCTGCTGCTGCTGTCAACATCTGTTCCCCCAACCGCATGCAGAACTCTCATATGGGACAGCCCATGCCTCCTGAAATCTGTTATTAAGAAAAAAAAAAAAAAAAAAGCCTAACAGTGCAATACTTTTTATTTCTTAAGCCACAGCAATAGTGAAACTGTATGTGTTCTTTTGCAGTTTTTTTTCCATTCTTCGTAGGAAAGATGCTAAAGTATAATTTCATTTAGAATACCGTATATAAATTATATATAGATATCCTTTAAGAATTATAAAAATAATGAAAATTATATGCATCCTTTATCTCTTATGTTTTCCTTAATATTTCCTAAAGAATTGTTATGTATCAGAAAATGATTCAAAATATTCAGAATTATTAGCCTCTTAACCACTGTGTTTATTAACTTAAACTAATAATAGAGAGCAAACTGGCTTTGCTTCTTAGCATAGGTTTTTGGAAACTTGAACTCAAAAATCAGTAAATTCAAAAGGAGTTATAGTTTCAGAGTATTTGGCATAATATATTTGAAAAGAATATTCCCTTCACTTATCTTTGTTTGCATTAGACTTGTGTTAATTATGTGATTCCTCTCCGTAGCTCCAATAATAAAGAGATCTCAAGTTGGAATGTGTAGTTCTACTTTTCATAAGTATCATTTAAAAACTGATTTATAAATCCTGTGACTTATGAAATATTTGTGAAGAAAACACCCAATGCCACTGGAATAATTCAAATGAAAGAGGGTCCTACATTGAGCAATTTGCCAGTTTAATACCTGCCCTTTACAATTGCTCTGCAGTTGACCCTTTAGTCCTATTTGGAGTTAGCAGATGAAAATAAGGTTTCCCTTCAAGTAGTGGTTGCTAAGGGCAACTGGTACTGACGCCAAAGACGAATACTCTACCTCCTTAGTATAATGCCTACTTTGTGAGCTAAATAAAGAGCTAAATTGTAGAGAAGGAAGTTGTACAAATGTGAAATATCAAGAAAGGAACAGAAACAGGAATATTAGAGATGGGAAAATAAAAAGAATTACTATAATCACTTTTTTGGTAACTGCCTGGCATTTTGGACAGGTGTTCTTATCTCCTGGGGACTCTGCATTTCCACCTTTCATAGCTAGAAAATTAACACTGTTCACTGGGGCAAGACTTTCTTTTGTAATATGAATTCATGTAATTAGTTCTTAGTGGATTTTGACAAAATGGAAGTGAGACTGTGATAGAAATATTTGTCAGCTTTTTAAGCTTGGATTTTCAAGCATAAATATTTTGTGTCAGTAGAATTGCTTTATGCTATTTGGAGAACTTGTAGTGTCCTGGGTCAGTTATCTCTAACTCCATGTCAGTACAGATTGTTTTATGAACATGTTGGTTTAATGAGAGAATCTTCATATAGAATGTGTTATAACAGTGTTCATAATTTCTTTGACCAAATTGCACTTAACGTATTCATTGCTATGATTTCAGAAAGGTTTTTAAAAACTTTATAGTGTCCGAGGCAATGCTGTTTCTAAAGGGTGAGTTCGTTACTCCTTTATGAGCATCTGCTCGATGCCAGGTGTTTTGCCTATCTACAAGGAGCTCACAGACTGGGAAGATGGACATAAAATCAAGTCATTACAGATAAGTATACTGTGGGCTATAATCAAGGCATAAATTTGATGTTATAGGAGCACAGAGTGAGAAACATATTCACTGAGTAAGTCACATTTAGCTTGCAGGATGGTTTGGAGTTTGCAGGTTGTGCGAGAAACATCTGCCTGCAGCAGCATTCCTTCCTTGATTATCAATGTTCATGCAACTGATCTGTTTCATTGCACGTATTTGAATGTCTCTTTCCTTCCTCTACACTTCTAGAATTAATTTGTTGGTTAACTCAGCTAGAGGAATATTTTTCTTCTTACCATGGGGTTTTTTTTAATATGAGATTCTGCAAATATATTACATGTAAGTGTGAACATTTTGAAATTTTCTACGATGATGAAGAACAAAATGAAACTCTGTAGGCACAGCTAGGAATGGCCTCTGCAGGAAAATGTCAACTTAATGTTCCAGGTTTCTCAGGACAGTCTAGACTCCAAGTGAGTCCTTTTACCCTCATAGAAGTTTACTTATCAGACCTTATGTCCTGATGCTCTTGATCGTAGAAATTTGGTCAATGTAGCAAAGACACAAAGGAATGAAGGAGGGCTGGTGAGGCCTGGCTGTAATATGGTGCAGGAATTATGAGACTGGAAAAGTATGCAAAGACATACTGTAGAATGTTTTGTATGCAACACTAAGAAATTTGGACTTTGTCCTTCAGGCAAAGGAGCCATCACATTTTTCAAAAAAGAATGAGGAGGTGGAATTATTTTTATAATTTATTTTCTGTAGATAAATTGACTGGAAAGGGATTATTTTTTTAAAAAGAATATTTCTAATAGCAATACAGAGAATGGATTGGGCTTAAGTTTTCAAAAAAGAGACTAACTGTGAAGTATAGATTTATGTGGTACTAACTTATAGATAATAATTAAAGCCATAGGAAATGGGTAGGAGAACCCAAAGGAAGCATGTGGAATAAGAAAACAAGCAAGAAGAAGGAAGGAATTATTAAAAGCATACGTGAATATGAAAAAGAGGAGAAATATGCACACGAGACTTGGAAGGAGTGTTTAGAGAGTTAGAAGAGAATCAGGGGAGTGTGTTTGGGAGGAAAATGTGGAGAGATTTTAAGATAGAAGAGTTGATAAGGACTGCCAAATCCTGCTAGGGCTGTAGGATGAGACTTGAAAAAGTGGATTTGGCAATTAGGCCATTTGAACCTTAGTGCTAGTAGGTTCACTTCATAAGGTCTCCTTTGTTAGAAAACAAAACATAACAAAGCTGTTAGTAATAGGATACAGGATTCTTTAGCAGAGCAAGGGAGTAAAAGTTTTTCTCTGGAGGAAAAAAAAGGGGGGAAGATTGCAGGAAAATGAAATAAATGTTAGGGCCCAGTAAAGGAAGCCCTAATCATAGAATTGTAGGACTGACTATTACTGGTTGTTTAAATTGTACCACCATAGGTCAAAACTCCACCTAAACTATTCCAGAGACGTGAATATTGTAATTGCTTATACAGAATCCTAATTATGAGCTAATAAGAAGAGACATTAAAACTAGCACCCCACTGATTTAATTTGGAGAGGGACATTTATATTAGCTGTTTCTAAGACTTATCTTTTAATTCTTCCCAAAATCAGTTATTTCACAGTTGGTTCACAGTTTTGAAAGTAGAACTGCTAGAGTAAAGAGAGAAATTTACAGCTTCAGATGTTTAGTTTCTGAAGGTGTCAGAATCCCATGTTTCTCTTTTATTTATTTTTCGCTGAATTTTGGAGAACACTGATTAACTTAAAGTTTTAGATTTAATTTTTCTTATGGGTCATTACACATGAATGCCAGCTGTCTTCTGCCGAGCAAAAACTAGGACAGTCCCATTCCAGCCTACCCTGTTTTAAGCTACAGGGTCACTGAGGATGTAGTAAGAAATTATACATTTTTTGATCATGTAAATGGATCCTTTTTTCCTAGTAATTACTCTCTTCCATATTTCACAATTTATCATTTCTATGAGGAATAGTAGCACAAGAAATATGCAACATCTGTGTCCCTTAGAAGGGGCCCTCAGAGAGGCCTTGCCTAGGGTTGTGCCCCCCTCTGGCTGGGCAGGAAGACTTGGTCTGCAGATAAACTAGCTGCATAATGGATGGTTTCTGTTATTTTGGTCTGAAGGCTTGATATGTAACAGATGCATCCTTACTTTGTGCCTGTCCTTTCTTCTCATGGATTGAGAGATGCAGAGGGGTTGTGTGGCAGAGTTAGGAGAAAAAGCATTGGCCTGGGGAGGAGTTCTGGGCTCTAGTGTTGACCTGGGCCCAAATTAACTCTACAGCTGATAGTGGGCAAGTCGATGAAGCTCACTGAGGCTGAATTTCCTCATGTATAAGATAAAGGTGGTTGTGCCACCCTGACTACTTCATAGAATGGCAGTGAGGACCAAGGCAAGAATACCTGGACAGACTACCTCAAGAAATGTGATATTGTCATGATACTGGAACTACACCTTTTTAAAAATAATTTCAACTTTTATTTTAGATGCAGGGCATACATATGTGGGTTTGTTACATGAGTATATTGCATGATGCTGAAGTTTGGGATGCAAATAATTCCACCACCCAGGTACTGAGCATAGTACCCAACAGTTTTAAAACCTTTCCCTGCTCTATTAGTTCCCCATGTCTGTTGATGCCATCTTTATGACCATCAGTACCCAATGTTTAGCTCCCACTTATAAATCTCACTGAGAACTTGTGGTATTGGTTTTTTTTATTTCTGAGTTAATTCACTTAGGAAAATAGCCTCCAGCTGCATCTGTATTGCTGCAAAGGATATGGTTTCATTCATTTTTATGGCTGTGTAGTATTCCATGACATATATGTACCACATTTTTTTTTATCCAATCCACTGATGGTGGGCACCTAGGTCGATTCTATGTCTTTGCTATTGTGATTAGTGCTGCATTGTACATATACTTCTATATTCTAGGACAACTTGCCGTCAAGATATTTGTACACATAAATGACCATTGTTGTAAAACATAGCATCATGTGTCTGTATTTCATGACTTAAATGCTATTTCAAAAGGACCTTAGTTTTTACTTAAACTCAAAACATTTTTATTTCTATTTTTGCTTTATGATTTTTTAAGCTTACTGAAAAGTACAGAAAACAATAAATATTCTCGTACTTCCCTCTTATATAAAATGGTGCCACCATCTTGTCACATTTCCTTCAGATTTTCTTACAACAGAACAAAGCTTACAGAGGTTGCTGAAACTCCACCTGTCCATCCCATTCACCTCTTTTCCTCTCTGAATGTTTCTATCTTTAAATGTTCACACAATGACAAAAATCATCTAACAACACTTCTCAGAACATATACATGCCAGTTAGCTGTGCATGACTGTGTTTATAATATATACTATTACTTATATTGGATTATCAGTATATATATGTGTACACATACACATATACACATATACACTTGTTTTGGGAAGATTTAAACTTGTACTTAACTTTTTCATTCAAAAATAAGGTTTTCAAGAGCTGAGTGAGGTGCCTCATGCATCTGATCCCAGCTATTCACGAAGCTAAGGTGGGAGGATAGCTTGAGCCCAGAAGTTCAAGGCCAGCCTGGGCAACATAGCAAGTTTCTGTCTCTAAAAAACTAAAAAATAAAGAAAGGGTAACAATTTTTTTAAAAGTGAGCCAAAAGTAATGTTTTGAGAGATTCAACCATATTGATGCTTGCAGTTTTAGTTTATTTTAACTTGAGAAGAGAATGTGGCTATTAAATTGCTGGTAAGAAGGTACAAATATCTAGTAGACCAATTTGGAAGAAACAAATAAATTTGGGAGAATGTATATCCTATGGCCCAGCAATTTCACTTCTCTGCATGAGAAACTCTTACACATGTGCACAAAAATATCTACAAGGTTGTTCGCAGCAATGGCTTTAATAGTGAAAACCTGGAAGTAATTTAAGTGGCCCTCATTAGTAACATGGGCAAACAGTGGAATATTATACAGCAGTGAAAATAACATTTTAATAAAATGAATTATAGTAATGAGAAAAATTGTCAAACTATTAACCACATATAAATCTACAAACAATACTTGATAAAATATGGGTGCAAAAAATATTTTTAATATTAGGCACTTTATGAGCAAGATGTTTTCTCTTATACCCTATTCATCATAATTTTTACATAATCTATTTCCTTTTTAAATGAATATGTTGGGCTTGCATGAGATAATTACAGAAGAATAATAAGACATTTTCAAAAAATATGCAGGTTAATAAATGGGCAAGATCTATTTTGCAATTTTTCTCCAACATGTTTGTGTGATGCTGAGTGGCAACTCTTTATATTATCTCTTAGTGGGCCACAATCAAAGAACTGCATAAATTAGTGTTATTTATGGGTTATCTGCTTTAAGAAAATCTGGCATATTAAAACATAGACTTAAAAATATATAGTAAGCTGGGGATTTTTAAAAATAGAGGTATACTTGGATTTATAATTGGAAACACCTTTGCATAGGAACACTCCCAGCATCTTAAATATGGCTTACTATATAAAATTTATTTTTTCAAAGCTTCAAGAATACATCTGTTTCATAAAGAAGAAAAATATATTCGTAGTAGTAATTTTAGCACTAAATAATGATTGACACTTCAATGCCACATATTAGTAGCTCTAGTGATAAAACTCTATCAAAGATGAAGATAATCAATCAGTTTACTGCTCCCGCTTCCAAAGTCTGATATTTATTTGAGGTTAATCGTGGTATCATTCTTTAATTTCATATCTTGTCATGTTCATCACTGTGAAGTTGAGGTAAAATTCTTTTAACTCATTCTGTAAAACTGTTAAGCTATAAATCAGATGTTCGTTAAAGTCAAGTAGAGTTCAGTCTTATGATTTCATTCTCCTCAAGAATCATTGAGCAATCTTTTCCCTGTGAAACAAGTACTTCAATGAGGATTGATTTTGCAGCTCAAATAGGATGGTTATTTTTACTGGCCATTCACCATGTTCATTTATCCTAGATTTTACCAGTTATGCACTTCTGGGTACCATCTGAACTGTGGAAGGAGCAAATGGGATGCCAGGGAAGAGGAAAGGGCCATATAGAAGTTAAAGGACACAATAACTCATGGTGGGTCACAACTTTATTTATTTCAGCAGCTTCTTCTCTGAAATATGGTATACAAATTCTAGATTTATTCCTAGATTTAAACCTTAAACTATATATGGTGAAAGCAGCTGACGGTGGTAAGACAAACTGTAATCTAAGATGAATTTCAGAATGAGAAAACTTAGAAGAAATTAGGATACAATTCCTTAGGCTTCTGTGAAAAACAAGCAAGGCAGGAGTGATGAACAAATATTTGATAATGAAAGTCAAGAGAATTACAATAAAATAAATTACTTAGGACATGAGTTTAGTTACTGCAGTTTTATGTTGATGTTTACATTTTTAACTATTTTACCTGTTATGTTGTTTTATTGAAAGGGTTCCTTTTTTCAGCTTTACTGAGGTGTAATTGGTAAATGGATATATTAATTAGCTTGATTATGGCAATTATTTCACAATGTATACATAGATCTAAATATCAAGTTGTATACCTTAAACATATACAATTTTTACTAAAGAAGTTCTTGGTAAAACAAAATACATTTTCAAAGTGTATCAGCTGGGGACGGTTGCTCATGCCTGTAATCCCAGTACTTTGGGAGGCTGAGGTGGGAGGATTACTTGAGGCCAGGAGTTCAATACGAGCCTGGGCAGCATAGTGAGACCCCGTCTCTACAAAAATAAACAAATAAATAATAAAAGTGTGTCCATTGATGTTTGTAATTGATTTCCACTCAAGTAATCAAGTCAGAGTTTCAGAATAAAGTTATTCTTTATTTTAAAACCCAAATATGTAAAGCAACAGTAAAAATGAATGTATTTAGACTTTTTTTCTTTTTGAGGCGGAGTTTCACTCTTGTTGCCTAGGTTGGAGTGCAATAAGGTGATCTCGGCTCACCCCACAACCTCCGCCTCCCGGTTTCAAGCGATTCTCCTGCCTCAGCCTCCTGAGTAGGTGGGATTACGGGCATGTGCCACCACGCCTGGATAATTTTGTGTTTTGAGTAAAGATAGGGTTTCTCCATATTGTTCTGGCTGGTCTCAAACTCCTGACCTCAGATGATCCACCCGCTTCAGCCTCCCAAAATGCTGGGATTGTAGGCATGAGCCACCGCATCTGGCTTGTTTTGTTTGTTTTTTTAATGTTGCAATTATGGGGGGATTTTCTGGGCATTATATGAACATGTTTAAGGTGTTTAAATAGGGAAAAGAGAAAAGAGAATAAATATTCCGTGATAATTTGGAAATAGATCTATGTTTTCTTCTTCTTCTTCTTCTTTTAGAGATAAGATATCACTCTGTTGCCCAGGCAGTAGTGCCGGAGTGCAGTGGCATGATCATAACTCACTGCAACCTGGGCTCAGGCAATCCTCCTGTCTCAGCATCCTGAGTAGCTAGGACTGCAGGCATGCACTTCCATGCCTGGCTAATTTTTTTTTAATTTTTATTGTTGTAGAGATGGGGTCTTGCCATGTTGCCCAGGCTGGTTTCAAACTTATTGCCTCAAACTGTCATCCTGCCTTGGCCTCCGACAGTGCTGGGGTTACAGGTGTAAGTCACCATGCCCAGCTGACTTAAGTTTTCTTAAGGATTTATTATACTTTAAAAGGCAGAATAGAGTTAACAGTAACACAGTCAATTAATTAGAGATTATATTGATTTCTTGTTGGAAGTCCCAGAAGGTACCCATTCTAACACTGTTTTGGCTGAATCTTATAGATAAGGATGGCACTTCGGAAAAATTAAGGGTAAGATGGTACATGAATGGTTAAAAATCTGAATCAGCTATTAGAGCTGAAATCAGGTGGGACCTTCTAAATTTTAGATTCAGATTCTCTTTTAAGGAATAGCTTTTATGGAAAGGGAAGTGAAAATATTTTTCTCTAGTCTGCTTTGTGGTATGAAATACCGTTGATCAGATAACTGCTCAGGTTCAAATGAACAGTAACTAAAGATGAGATCAGTGGTTAAATGCATTTAGAGATTCACAAATTGCTCCAATGACCAAAAAGGAATTTAAATATTTTTTTTATTTTTATCAACTGAGTAAGATTTCTTGGCTCTTCTCTTGACCTCTAGAATGAATAATTTAAGTTTAATGTTTTTTCTTACCGTGAGAGTTACACTTATCCTACTTGGCTGCTTATATCAAGTTAATTAGAAGATTGCCAATTTCCCCACTCTATTAGAAGTTATATAAATATCACAACTAAAGGACAAATGATGGCTCTGTTAATCTCAAGAATTTATAATTTGATGATCTGAAGGTTTATTTAATATAAGAATACTTTAACAGCATAAATTTTTGTTCTTAGCCACTTAGTTTAGTTCATGTTGGGATGAAATGGCCAATTTGGATTTTGATTAATTTGAAAATGTAGCATAATACAGTTTAGACTTAAGTACTCTTATTTTGGAGTACTGTTCATTACTTAGACGTTAAATTAAGCTTCTGTGAGCAAAGCAGTTAACATTTATTGAATCTATGTTTCGGGTATCAAGCTTTCCATGCAACACACCTTACTTTGCATGCATAATTAATTGTTCCTTGTTGTTCCTTCTTCATCTGTAAAATAAGGATAAGAATTAGACCCATTTCAAAGGCTTGTTTGAGGATTAAATGAAATTTATAGAAAGCACTTAAAACATTATAGAGTAAGCACTCAATAAATGTAAAATATTAAAATCAGCTGCTTTGGCCATCAAAACAGTCATATGTTTTGTCACGTTATTATTATGTTTAGGCATTATTGTTATCCCAACTCTTAAATGGGCAGGAAGCTCACATAACTAATAACTAACAAAGCTGGGATACAAATTCGGTTCTGTTTGGTTTTAGAGTCCAGTCTTATCTGCATTCAAAGAGATAAATGGCCAATCTGTATAGGTATATCTACATATCTACATCTATCTGTCTATCTATCTGTCTATCTATCTAGCTATCTAGCTATCTATCTATCCTAGTTTAAGGTATTCTGAATTCTTCAAACAATTTCTGCCATGAATAATTCCATCCCTACCATCACTGTTCTGGCTCAGGACCATTCAACTTTTTTCCATTCTTTTTTATTTTTTTAAGATTGATTAGGTTTTGGTGGAGTGTCTACTCTTAAAACACAATATCCAGTTCTGTGGTTCTGAACCACAGTGAAAATTGCTTGATGTGTCACAAGTAACTTTTTTCAAACCAGTAACATAGTGCAATAAAAATCTAAAGTTTAGAAATTACTTTTTAAACCTAAATTCTAGCAGATACAAGATTATTCCTAAAATAGCGACCCATTCACTCCACCATGATCCTATACACTTTCTTGAGGGGGAAAGCAACAGTGGCGCTGCAGCCAGTCCTCCAGCAACCTTACACAAGGCAGAGACCAAGCACTGGCACATTCCCAGCACAGGCTCTTTCATTCCATCATGGAGGCCAGGTGAAAGGCCCAGAATGGCTGAGCAAACCCATCCTTTGGCTAAGCCTCTGTGGAGGTTTTCTTTCTACCCTAATTGACCAGGTGAAAAAGAAGTATTAATATTATCTAGAATCATCAGATACCCTGTAATTTTAAGAGCAAATCACATAGTTTTCACTCTTCTGTCATTGCTGTTTACTAAGTTCATTGTAGACATGCAACAGCAACAACAACAGCAACAAAATTTCTAGATGGGACTTTAGTACCAGAGATAGGAGGGGAAATTTCTAGTAGCTTGAATTACTAAAATGACTCTTTGAGCGATTAATAAATTGTATTTTGGTGTACTTTGTATAGAAGGCTATTTGTTAAATACCAGCTCACAGTAAAAGGATGTTTAATTAAAGCTTCATATTCATGAAAATTTAACAAAATCAGCCAAATTGTTTTACTGTAGTTGTGCCACAGTTAACTGAAACTCACATAATGTTTAAGGCTTTTTACCCCAACTTCAGACCCTCTGAAATAAACTCCGCTTGGTTTAACCTCAAAAACACTGCTTTAGACAATTTTTTTAACTTCTGAAGAGCAAGAAGCAAATTTTATGGTATCAGTTTTGCAAATAAAATAGTCAAAGAATGAATAAAAAAGTTGTTAATTTTGTGAATAGATAGTATTACAAATTCTATAGCTAAGAATTATTTTGTACTCCATGCATATGAAGAAAAGAAATAGAGATTTGTGGGGCTGGTTCTTTTTTTGACTTTTGTTTTGTTTTGTTTTGTTTTGTTTAGAGTTGGGGGTCTCATTCTGTTGCCCAGGCTGGAGTGCAGTGGCACTATCATGACTCACTGCCTCAAACTCCTGATCTCAAGCAATTCTCCCACCTCCACCGGGCCTGGCTAATTTATTTTTATTTTTAATTTTTTGAGACAGAGTCTCACTCTGTCACCAAGGCTGCAGTGCAATGCTGCGATCTCGGCTCACTGCAACCCCCACCTCTGGGGCTCAAGTGATCCTCCCAAGTAGCTTGGTGTGCACCGTGACGCCTGGCTAATTTTTGTATTTTTTGAAGAGATAAGGTTTTGCCATGTTGCCCAGGCTGGTCTCCAGCTCCTGGGATCAAGCGATCTGCCAGCCTCGCCTCCCAAAGTGCTGGCATTACAGGTGTGAGTCACCATGCCCAGCTAATATTTTTTAATTTTTGTGGGATGGTTTTTGATGTATTTAAATAAACTCCATGTTATATCTTCATACATCATCATTAAAGAGAATGCTTAACTAAATTGTTACATTCTTTCCACAGCACAATAAAATTACAGAATAATTCAAAGCAAATACAAATTATTTTCTTAGCCCATCTTCTTAATTTGTAATGTTGTCCCAGAATACCCTTTCAGAATAAATTAACATTTACAAACAAATGAGTTTTCAATAAGGATACATTATGAGTGTGAGGCTGAGCAAAGATAAAATACTAACATTTATGTAGCAATGTGAAGGGCTGCTTAGATAATGGTAGGAACCAAATACACAATCACGAATTCATGTGGCTCAAGGGAAATAAATATGAGCATTCCTGAGTTATTGGCCAAGATCAAGGAAATACAAGTTTTTTTTTGTTTTTTTTGTTTTTTTTTTTTTTTTTTTTTTTTTCCTTAAGGAGTATGAAAAGGTTTAGGAAACAGGTAATTTTTTGCAAGTGATAAAAAAACTGTTAAATGCCTGGAATGTTGGAATAAATCGCTATGATCGAAGTAGAGAAAGATGTGTTTTTAAGGAACAAAAGCTCCCTTTGTTTTGTTCCACTTTCTGTGGAAATGCTTTAAGACTTAGCCCTGAGGACTGTGAAGCATCAGATAAGTTGTGATGTTCTCCCACGTCCTCAGCATGTGACCCATTCACACAGAATATTCAGATACAAATATGGGTTCTAATTGCCAAGTAGTATACATTTCCCTAGACTTCGTTGCAGTTGATTAAAAGAAAAATGGCAACTTTACAGTATGATTTCACTTCATGAAGGTACACTTTTGGCAGATTCAGGTAAAAAGAAAACATTCATATTTATTATCATTCTGCGTGTTCAGCCTTTTTCCTTCCTTAGAATCAGTCTTGATTACTTTTAAGGGGACTTTACTAATCTTTATCTTCCTCTCCATCCTGCCATCACTGACCTGCCTCAATCCCTGTTCAACTCTCTCTTATTCAGTCTCCTATGTGGATTGTTCCCCTGCTTTCTGTCCTCTGCACAGCCACAAGGCAGTCTATTAAGGATGCATATCTGTTTCTGTCACCCTGCTGCTAGACCCCTGCAGTGGCTCCTCACAACTAGCCTATAGCAGACAAGCTTTTATTAGAGCAGACTATATTCCTTGTGGGCAAAAGTGGTGGTTGTTTGTCATCTACTCTGCCCTTGAGACTCTCAACTCCACTCCAGCAACTCTGAACTTCTTGCAGTGTCCTGCCCTTCCCAGCATCTTATGCTGCTCCTTAACGTTCATCCTCTTTGCTCTTACTCTAACTTCTTCTTTTAGACTCAGCTCCCATATCACCTCCTCCAGACATTGGTTGAATGACCTTTGTCAATGAGCCCACATCCTGGGCATATCTGAATTACTGCACTTCTATGTTTTGTGTGTGTGTGTGGGGGGGGGTTTGTTTCTGTTTTTTGGTTTTTTTTTTATAGTTAAGTGTCTACCTCCTCCAGTAAAGTGTTAATTTCTGAAGGATTGGAACAATGTCATATTAATCCAACAAAACCAGAAGGGCTGAAAATAGTTAGTTAAACCATTTCTTAAAAAATATTTTATTTGGCCAGAACCAAGGTACACAGACGTAAATTCCTGTAAAGAAGCACTTGCAAAGAACCCAGTTCAGTCTATAAAGCAGCAAGTTTAGGTGGTTTAGATGTATGTCAGTATTTTTAAGTATTCCTTCATATGGTCTGGTTTTTAAAAAACATTTTCTGTTAATCCAATTCTGTTTGTGATGTGTGCTTCAATTTTCAGCTAGATTGCAAGAATGTATATGGCCCTGCAAAGAAAGTAATTACCTAGGATGAATACAGTTGATATATTTGCTGTTCCTGTGAAATTTTAAAACTACTCATTCTAAGAGATTTTCTCTTAAAATAAGATTTTTAGAAAGGGAAAATTCATTAAATAGTTTACTTGTGGCTGCTTTTAAATACTAACATTTTGTGTGATAATTTGTGTGCCTTAAAAATTTGGCAAACCATACTTTTCTATGAAAATAAAAATGAGTCCTAGCTTAGTTCTTTCTTAATACTGATAATTGCACCTAACATAGGTGTTAATTTTGTTTTGGAATTTTTAACAACAGTTTCTATTCTAGGGTTGAACTTCACATTTTCAGATATGATTTTATGATCAAAAATCAGGCTTTGGGGAAGGTCATTTCCTATTTTCCTCTCCTTTATGTATGTAATTATAAATCTTTAGAGAAATATTCCTCCCTATGTTTATGGAGTAACAGTAAAATCATGTTAAATTCATTCTTTAAAATTGTTTTCTAAAACCTCTAAAAGCAAGCTGAAATATTTGCAGGTTTATTATTTAAATCTTTAAATAATACATTCACAATATGCGTGCTCTTTTTGTCTTTATAAATTACTCTGTTTTTTTTCCCAATTTCTCAGAAATTATCCAGTGAGAATTCTGCAGGACTGCATGCAGAGGTACTCAGTAAGTTAATTTAGGCAACTGCAGTAATGGCTTTCTTTGCTTAGCACGATATATTAAATATTTTGCAAAAAATAAAATTACATGTAGAATGACATATGCCTATAGAAATTCTATAATTTGATGGGTTCCTTCCTAAGGAAAAGGGGATATTAATTATTATAAATGATAAAAAGTTTACTTCCATTCATGTAAAATATAAAATTTCCTCTTTGCTTAGAATTACCTTTTAAAATATGGAGTGTTACTATCTGATCTGTATGTATCTTAATCCTATTGCAAATCTTTTGATTTGGTGATACAGCAAAGAATATGCTATGTCTTTCCCTACCCCACTAAGTTTATTACGTTTAAAAGATAATTATAATGCTATTGCATTAAATGTATAAGTTGTTTACAGAGAAAATGTTACCTTTGTAAATTTTATTATGCCCTCTTCAGTTCAGAAATGTGGAGGCACACCACTGACTACACAATAGCTTAGGCCCACCTTTCAAGTTATTTCTAATATGACTCTTTCATGGTGTCTTTGCTCCAAATAAACTGAACTAGTCAGTGTTTCTCCAGTAATTTTTATTCTTTTCTGCCTCTCTGACTTTGCTCAATCTATTTTTCCACCTGGTATTCTTTCCTTGGTGTTCAGTCCAAATCCCAAACACATCATTCCCCTTAACCACATAGGGAGGTGGTGACATTCTTGCTACTTCCACCATGGGGCGTACTAAATAACTGCTTATTCACTTCAGTCTATATTGTCAAGTTGTGAAAACTGATATCCTGGATCATTAGAATTCACTGCGTGTCTGTCAGTTATCAATAGGCTAAACCGCAGAAAATAAAGCTAGAATATGTCTTTGTATTGAATCCATTTACTCTTTTCTCAATGTTTGACATGTATAAATAATACAGATATCCTTTGCCAAGATATAGATGTTAGAATTGTCTCTATAGACTAAAAGAAATGCAAGTTGCTTCTTTGTGGAAGCTTTGTGCTTTCTTAAAATAGGAAACTTTAAGTAGGTGCAGATTGACATGTTGAAGCATTTTGGTGTAACTATTCTTAAAAATGCCTAGAGCTTTTACTGTCCAAGTTTTTTTGCTTTTGTTTTTGTTTTGGGGGTTTTTTTTTTTTGGTTTTTTTTTTTGCTAAAACACAGCTAATAAGATAAATCAAAATTCCTAAAATGTAATCTCTTCCCCTGTAGGATTTTGTGGTCCCTTTAAAAAATAAGATAGAGAAGAAAATTTCAAAGCAATTATCAGACCTAATTTTTAACACAAAAGAGCTGTCAGATTTTATACTCTTATTACTTTAATCTGGGAGGTAATTTGTTATATTGTTATAATGTTGACAGGCTCAAATTCCCTGAAATAAATTATCAAAATAAGAAATGTAGTATAAGATAGAAAAATCTATTCTTTTTGGTATTGCTTCTTACCAAAAAGAAATGAGGTTTTTGTGTGTGTATGTGTATGTGTGTGTGTGTGAACATTTAAACAAAAGAAAAAATAACAAACTATTAAAATGAAGTATTATGTTTGCATACATTGATTTTGCACTAAACATTGGACAAATCTTTGCTGCACGAAGAGCTGGTTAATTTATTTCGGAATTTTGATTAAATGAGGCAGCAAAAATCAGAAATATTAAGCACTATAAAAATCAAATTTGATTAAAATGTCACTTAAAGTACAGTTGTGTTTTTTCTTTTTATCATGAATTATTGAATGGATCAAAACAGAAGCATCTTATCTACCACTGTAAATCTAGCCATTCTTATTTCTTATTTTATTAAAGCAGGAGCATTAACATGTTTTGAGTACAAATTCTGAAGTGGAAAGGATGTTTTCTATAAGATGAGGGATTCTGATAAATTTAATATTTTATAAAATATCTTGTTACAATTAAAATTTAAAAGATGGCTTACTTTGCTCATGGCCCTGTGGTGGGTACTAAAGTATTTATTATGTGAATAATATGTTCATATATATGCATAATTTTATAACTGAAGAATCTGAGTCCATATGAGAATGTATATATTTACATATTTTTAATCAGCTTAAGAGTATCAATCTGTAGCTATTTGTTTCTTATTATTCCCATGCTCAAATCACTTCTCGGTATTGGCTTAAGTGAATGACAAAATATTAACTACTTTAAGCGATAGGTTCTTTACCTTAGTCAGTTCCTAATATGGCAACCTAAATTGATATCATAGAGGCCTTGAAAGCATCAAGGTGCCTTTTACATACCTGAATGAAAACAAAAGCCTAATTTAACCAAAAAGGAGACTATGACTACTGCAAATGTTCATAAAAAGAACAGAATAGTTTTCTATAGTAATCTACACCATCTGTGATTATAAAATGTCATCTTTATCTATTCCCTCTTGTCAAAAGAACAATACTTAGAACCACATGTAATAATTTTTCATGCTCATTCATATTCATAAACATGAAGACATGTATACCAACATAATCATTCTACCAGTATTTACTTTTAAGGAAAATTTATTAACTTAATGGTTTCTTGGTTTTTATATCAGGGACAAAGATGTTTAGCTAACATGATCATACAAACTACGAGTGTGCATGTATGTGTGTACACCCATGTAGGCATGTGCACCAACCAAGGTTTTCAATTGGAAATTACAATTAGCTACTTCATAAATGCTTTTGGCTATGCATGCATATTCGCAAAGTCACCCGCTTTTTAAAAGTATTGAACACTTTCATTACTAAATTGCAAATCTGGATTTTACAAATGTTGCCTATCCTACTGGAGACCAGTGTTGACTAATACTCTTCTAAATATCAAGGCAGAAAGCCCAAATTAATAATAGTATAATTAACATAAATCAGTATTAATTTGTATTGATAATAGGACTGTTCTGTATGTGATCATTGTGTCCTGTGTCCTCACCTACAGGCATTATCCTTATATGTGTGTTTGTATATGTTTGTTTCAGAATTTTAAAAATAACGTTGTTATACTTTATATCTGGATTCAGTAGGGAATGAAACAAAGTTTATATTTGTTAATTGAAATGCATAATATTGAAAACTATCCAAAAAATGCCTTGAGAAAAATTATAGCCAAGATAAAATGCTTAAGTGTTCAATTTATTTCATGATCCTTGAATCTCCTGGAACTTAAATTATACATTAACCTGATAATAGTTAACTTAGGACAGAATGTGAACTAGATCCCAATTATAAATTATAAATTTTATGTGTACATGTTTAACCATTCATCAGACACAGAACTTCTTTTTTTTTTTTTTTTTTTTGAGACAGTCTTACTCTGCCACCCAGGCTGGAGTGCAGTGGTACAATCGTAGCTCCCTGCAACCTCGAAATCTTAGGTTCAAAAGACCCTCCAACATCAGCCTTCTGAGTAGTTGGGACCACATGTGCCACCACAACCGGCTAATTTTTTTATTTTGCAGGCTGGTCTCAAACTCGTGGCTTCAAGCAGTCCTCCCACCTTGGCTTTCAAAGTGTTGGGATTACAGGCATGAGCCACTGCCTCAAGCCAGAATGTCTTGATGAAATCTGAATTAAAAAGATTTTGTTTCCACCAGCTATCCAGGGCAAAACAGAGGAGGAATACAGTAATCCTTGTTAGTAGCTCTCTTTACTCTTCCTAGATTTACTCTTTGATCTGTGCTTCTCAATAGTCTTTACTTTCTTAATCATACGACCTCCTACAATAAGGTTTTTGTTTTATTTGGGTTTTTGCCAATGTATTTGTTGATATTTAAATTTTAATTACAACAAAATGACAAAACTTCATGAGTTTTATTTTTTTCAAATAATTTTTCACATGAAGACATATTTTATATGTATTAAGACATGAAATGAAAAGAGGGTAGAGAAATATTTGAAAAAAAGTGATTATATGTATTAGGATGTGAAATGGAAAAGAGGGTGGAGAAAATTTTGGAAAAAAATTTTGAAGTATAAAAGGGAAACTTCTTTTAGATGTTCTTAAAGACATGAAATGACTTCAAAATTTACCCTATTGCAAAGAGAAGAAAAAGCTACATTTGAGCTTATTAAACATATAATTTTTGTCGCTGGGGGGGGACAGGGTCTCACTCTATTGCCCAGGCTAGAGTGCACTGCTGCAGTCCACGCCTCACTGCAACCTCTGCCTCATGGGCTCAAGCAACCCTCCCACATCAGCCTCCTGAGTAGCTGGGACTATAAGCCCACACCACCCTGCCCAGCTAATTTTTGTATTTTTTGTAGAGACAGGGTCTGGCCATGTTGCCCCGCCTGGTCTCCTGAGCTCAAGTGATCCACTTCCCCTGGCCTTCTGAAGTGCTGGAATTATAAAAGTGAGCCACTGCACCCAGCCCACAAATAATTTTTTTTTCAAACTTTTCCCTAGGTTGAAAAACAAATCAAAATGACAATAGGTATAAGTACTCTTTTGGCACAAGTACTTTTCAGGAAGCATTCAGGTTCCTACCATGATATTTTGGAAGAGAAAGATCACAATTCTCTAAGAATTTGCAAATATGATATATATAGTTTTTATTAAGTTCCTTCTACTTTTTGACAAATTCCAAAATAATCTAACTATAATGTTGACCAGTTTTGTTGAACTCCTATCCTCAAGTGATCCACCCACCTTGGCCTTGCAAAGGTCCTGAGATTACAAGCATGAGCCACCATGCCCAGTGATCAGTTTTCCTTCCTTTTAAGATTCTCTAAAAATGAAACATGCATAGAAAATAGAGCCACTTTCTTAATAACACTTGGTTTGAAGTAGAAATTAGTCTCAAAGTATGCTTTTATTGCCTTGTTTTTAGGACATTTATTTCAATCCATACAAAACATCCAAATAATTTGGTCTTGGAATCCCATTCATTAGTAAACTAAAGGACCATCCAAAAAAATAACAATCTGGGGTTACACTTGATCCTTGGAGAGTAAATGATTCTGGAAATATAAGTTCTGTCATTCTCTTTTCTCCTATAACATACATAACACTCTGATGGCGGTTTTATGGCCCCAACAGAGATTTGGCCCAGAAAAGACATGCTTAAACTGAGGGTATACCCCAGCTAAGTCAAAATGAATTGTGAAATCACTAGAAATGGCTACAACTTCTCGTCATGTTCTGCAAATTGTTTCAAGATGTTTTCTATAAACTTTCACTACTTTTGCTTTTTTTTTCTTTCGTTTAAAAAATATTTACTCAGAACATACCATGTGCTAGCCACTAGATCTTAAGTGCCAAGTCACTGGTGAGCCTAACAGACATTCTTCCTGTACTACAGAGATTACCCTCTGGTGGAGAAAACAGTAAGAATCAAATAACCATACAAGTAAATACACCCATTATTCAAAAAATATGTATTGAGTGCTCCCCATGTTGTGAATCTATACTAGATTTGTGGAATATAGTACCTGAACCCATGAATCTTACATTCTGGTGCACAAATTAAACAGTAAGCAAATAAACAAATAAGTAAATACTATATGGCGGGTGGTGCTATGAAGAAAAATAAAGCTGTATAAGGGCATAGAAAATTTGAGGGGTTGGGATAACATGTTTAGAGAATGGAGTGAGTGAGGGAAAGAATAGTAACAGATAAGGTCAGTGAGATAGGAAAAGGCCTGGTCTTCTACATGGCAAGCAGTGCTTGTTATTACAAATGGCAAAAGTGCATTGTAACAAATACAAGATGTTAAGAGAATGGATAACTGGGAGCCTACCACCCAAGGGAATCAGGGGAAGTTTCTATTCAGAACTGAATTGTGTCCCCCCCAAAATTCAAAATTTATTTAACTCTCAATGTAACAATCAGAAATCAATTAAGCTGGCACTGGTAAGTTCTTAACCTTCAGTAATTACTTTGAATGTAAATGGATTAAATTATCCAATCAAAAGGCATAGAGTGGATGAATGGATTAAAAAAATTTAAAAAGCAAAACAAGACCCAACTGTATGCTGCCTGCAAGAGACTAATTTCACCTTAAAATACACTCAGACTGAAAGTGCAGGAATGGGATAAATTACTATATTTCCGTGGAAATAAAAAGAGAAGTGGGGTAGTTATACTTATTTCAGACAAAATGGACTTTTGGTCAAAAACTGCAAAAAGGTACAAAGGAGGTTATTATGTGGTGA